GCAATTGTAAAGATTGTGTTGCGATGGCAACACAAGCTTTGTGTTGCGATTGTAAAGCTTGTGTTGCGATCGAAACACAAGGATGTCCTTGTGTTGCCATCAACACAAGCTTGTGTTGCGATCGAAACACAAGCTTGTGTTGCGATTGTAAAGCTTGTGTTGCGATGGCAACACAAACTTGTGTTACAAACTTGTGTTGCGATTGTAAAGCTTGTGTTGCGATCGAGATTCCAACACAAGCAATCGTCATCCTTGTGTTGCGATCGAAACACAAGCTTGTGTTGCGATTGTAAAGCTTGTGTTGCGATCGAAACACAAGCTTGTGTTGCGATTGAAAGGCTTGTGTTGCGATCGAAACAAACTTGTGTTGCAATTGTAAAGCTTGTGTTGCGATCGAAACAAACTTGTGTTACGATTGTAAAGCTTGTGTTGCGATCGCAACACAAGCTTTGTGTTGCGATCGAAACACAAGCTTGTGTTGCCAAAGAAGATGGGTCCATAGCATCCGTGATGATTGATATGCATTGTCTTTAAAACTGATTGGCCTACACCAGACTCTGGTGCCTTACCACAGGTATCGATTTGGTGGTTGAAAATCTTAACACCTGTTTTATTTCCAGAAAGGATAAAGCCTATTCTTATTTTTTCATGGCATCCATCTCCCCTTTACCATATCCCCATTTCTCACACCTCCTTCCCCAGTAGCGATTATTGGACCCAAATAAAGGGGATACTTCGAGGAGGGACCCATAGTTATACCCTCAACGCAAAGGTGTTGAAGGTCAAGGTATTGAAGGTCAAGGTGTTGAAGGTCAAGGTGCCTACCATAATTGCTCGCTCTCCCAACACTGGCAGAAAGTCTTCACTCGGAGGATCTCAAGAGAGCCCCCCTTCACTGGATCGTGTTTTGGTCTACTCTTCCACGGTGGCCAGACGTTTCGAAAGAGGTGGGGCGTTACCCACCCTTTACCCCACCACATGCGATTTGTTCAACCTTTTATGCTGATGAATGACGGACAGAGGCGGAGGGATTTAAGAAACCTGCACCGTTTCAACTGCCACGCCGGGAGATCGAATTGAACAGGTGACCTCTTGAACTACAAGCCCAGCGTGCTCATCGTGAGGAAGTCGAAAGTGATTTCCTGCTCTTAGTGAGCATTGAACTAGTGGTAGAAATTCCACATTCTAGTTTGTAATTACGAGACTGCCAGACCAGGGAGTTTGGAAACTGTAGCCCACGGGCAATATCGTCTGACTAGCCTTTTGCTCGTCCAAGGACGGGTGTATTGCAGTAAATGTGAAACTTGCAAGCGAAAAGCAGAGCGCGACGTGTTTATTCATTGCATCAATTCGTGTGCAATTTGTAAGGCTGCGGTGACACAGACTTATTTCGTGTAAAGGTTGTTGATCATGACATCCTTTTTACTTCTATGTCTCAACAACAGCGTTACGGAGATCGCGTGACGTGAGGGGTCTGTCTTTGTAGTGAGGATTGTTGGTTGACGTGGGGGGGGGGAGGCGCCTCGCCCCCCCATTTGGAGTGACGTCACCCGCTAATTATTATTGATGGGGGGGTGTCCATTTGGAGGTCACCTGTTCATGATTATTAATGAGGGTGGCTGTTCAATGTGGAGTGACATCACCTGCTCATGATTATTAATGAGGAGGGGGTCCATGTGGAGGACGTCACCTGTTCATGATTATTGATGAGGGGGGCTGGCCGATGTGGAGTGACGTCACGCGCGGGACACAGACATTCTTGGCTCATATCATCTGATGATTTGTGACTTCATCTCATAAGGGCATGCAGCGACTTGAGGCCTCCCACTCGGAAATGCCCTGCAAGTTATATTTAACCATCACTGCAATCATCTTGACCGCAATAATCGAGTACTAGAGGGGGAATATTTTCGATTAGGTAACAAAACTACTTATAAGCTTAGTGCGCTCAATCACTTCCCTCATTGAGAAAGAGACCCTTGTAATGTCAGAAGTGAGTGAGGTGTGTTTTAATGTGCGGCCCCGCGAAAGGTGTGTGGAAGTCCTGTTCATCAGTGAGTAAGGAAATCATGTCTCACCCCTGCTATAAGCGCAGAAAACACTTTAAGGCCAGGTGTCAACTGCAGCTGCTGTATTATCCGGTCGATGGAAGTGATGAGGTGCAATGATCATTAATATAATTCTACATTGACCCTCTCTAGCTTCAACAATATTTTTCCCCCATCCACCCCGAGTAGCCTCAATGGGGGGTGGGGGCGGCACTGAGGGCACTGCTGTTCATTAGTAGAGGGCACACACACCCGAGTAGGTGCTACATTGCTCTTCCCCCTGACCACCCAGTCTGACGAATGAATTATTGATCATTGCCCCATCTGCTGCTGGCCCAAGACGCTGAACTGAGTCATGCGCTCTCACTTTTGGGGCCAAGGGTGAAGGTGATTCACAGTGAAGGCTTAAGGAGCGTTCCGCACATCCTCAGGAATTGAACGGTTGTCAGTTCGTCTTATTAGGCTGCCTCGGTTTGGCTGCCAAAAGCTTCGGTAGTTGCCTACATTCATATGGAGTCCATAAAAATTCGTTATTGTTCTGCAAGTCTTGTTTTTTGAGTGAATGTTTGTCCTTTTATGCAATACTGTATTTATTGTGCATTCACCTCTGTATAGGTGTGGGAAGCTACCAGTCAAAATGAACACTCACACCTGCAATGCAAGTGATTTATACAGCCTTAATCCAAGGTAAGCGTAAACCTAATATAAATGATTATGGCACGGTATAGCATGTACATTACCAAAATGATCACTTCCTAATTACCACTTATTTTCACTCACTGATTAAATGAAGACTAATGACCAATTTCCTCGTGATTATTTTAAACATCCATTCACGCTGACTACCTATGTTTTAAAAAAAATCTGGTATTTGCATATTTTTTCGTATGTGCATGACCGGAGGGAATCTTCACCTCGTAATGCATTATCCTGCCATGACAGTATGGTGTCAGGGGAAACCTATTAATTTGCCATGATATTTTTTTAAATAAAAAAAGTGTGAAGATATATATGTGCATGCACAATTGTGTAACAATACAAGACATGACAAAATAGGCAGAGGTGAACCCATCGTATATCTTTAAGGGGGACAGGGGTGGCGATCTATGCAATCGGTAAGTGAACAGTCTCTATGATGATAGACTGAGCTGCCAGGGTGGGGGTGAAATTTGCTTTGAAAGAGAGACTTTTCCCCCTCCACCCCACATGTGACACCATCTTCAAACCATTTTCAAGCACAGCTGCCAGTATCTGGAAAAAATGTGTATATTTTAACACATGTAGGTACATGTCGACAAATACAGAATTATCAAATGTGGTAAGGACTTTTTAAGACTGCTATCAATGTGAATTAGTTATTTTAGTTAAGGATTTATATAGAACCGTTAAGCCCTTATCTAGCAGTGGAATGACCATGGTGTATTATGATCTTTATATATGCTGCATGTCATGTTGAAAGAGGCATCTGAATATATTTTAGAAGGTATAAATTAAATATATGTTTCCATAGATATATCATGGGACCTCCTTTGCCAGTACCAAAATATGAGAATAGGTTTTTCCTCTTTTATCTGGCAACAAAACAGGTGTTAAGTTGTTAAAACACCAAACTGAAACCTTTTACAAGGAATCATGTCTGCATTAACCACAATACTTGTGGTCAAAATGCAAAAAAAACATACTCTGATAATATAGATCCCATGAATGATCATTTATTATAGCCTCTGCGGAGGTCACAATAGATGTTTTCCACTGTAAACCCATATTTACTGTTGATGGTGGTATGGGTTTAAAGGAAAACAATTACACATACTTTTAAGACAGTATTACTATGTCAGATATATCAAAGGGCTGTGTTGATAAAAACAAAGTACGATTTTGATTAGACATCAGTCGTGCAATTTTGTATAATTTCCACAAATATATTTTAATATATGGCAACTGCTATATAAGCTCCCTCGGCTCAAACCAGCATGACATCAGGCTAAAATATAAAGTTAACATCCCTGTGTAAAATTGCAGCTGCACTGGAGTTTTGAGAGGTATTTATTATTGATTTCTCCGTTATGATCAATAATACATCTAGTGCAAATGGGTTGAAATTGGATGGGCTGTCAAATTGGGTGAGATTGAAGGCATTGCTTGTACTTTTGCCATTTTAAATGATTGATTGTGAATTATCCGAGAGCAGCCATAACATGCATTACAATCATATTTATTTCGAGGGTCTTTAGAGGTCTGCCAGTCCAAGCTTTGATTTGTGGCCCTTCAAATCCCTCTGAAATATTGTTCAAACCCATGCGATGTGGTTGGAAATATTAACGGCAAAAATAAACCATGAAATTGAACTCCAGGCAATAATGGTCCAATTACACAGTTCCTTTAGAAGTTAAAACTGGAGGAAACATTTAGAATTTTAATGGGCTGTATATATATTCCTCGATAACACCTACGGTGTGTTTGCCATGATCACTCATTTTAGCTGTTTAACTCCAATTCGATTGATTTTATACTAATGAACATGCATCAAAACTTGTGTTTGAGAAGCTATAATGTACAAATGTATGTATGTTATATCATAATAAAAAAAAAGTATTTTTTATCCACGAAGTCCTCATAATGTCTCACAGTGAATTTCTCTACATATCCATTGCCCAAGATATAATATGCAATTTTTACTCTCGGGACAGTGTTATTGTTGAATGTGCCACGTTTTTGTTCAGTGCATTGTTTGTCCACATGCAAGGTTTAATATATGGCTCATGAAACAGAGTCGCCTGCAGATCAGACTGAACGAATTAGACAGACACCACAACAGATAATTAGAAAAAAAAGAATCAGTTGTTGAATTTGTGATTCCTGTATCTTGACAAGTCATCAAATCACGGTGTGGATGTTAGTAAAATTGACAAGGCTTCACGTTTCCTATTGTGTGTGTCCCTCACATTCATCCAACTCCAGCAGACTCGCCCTGAGCCTGAGGAACGAGCCTCTAAGCAATTACTCGAGCCAGGGGGACTCCCAACTTCTCTTCAATTCCCAGAACTTGGTGGAAGCTCAGGCCAGCAATATGTACTGTCTGCCATCACAGATGGAGGTGAGCAAATAGTTAAGATTGCTCCGGGTTGCTGAAAGCTGTAAAAGTATGCATGTTTATCTCTGGCAGTCTGGCGAGGGAATTAAGGCATCATATGCCTGCGTGATTATTATTTCTTTTGAAAGGCAGTGTAATGTAGTTAATGTTAATGGCAATTATCCAGAAATGAATTTACTTGCATAATAAGTTAAAAAATGAAAGCAAATGAACTGTTACAAAAAAAATACATTTTGATCTACCTGGAAGTAAAATTGCAAAAAATTGTGGTCGTAATGGAACATTAATACTCTGCTTATTTGGCTATTAGCATCTCTGTACAGTTATATACAATCTTGCATGGTGGCATATGCCTGGTATCCATTTACTAAATTAATCCTACAGAGGACCTTCTATTGAAGTATATATACTTTGTGAAGGTCATTTTGGTTTGCGACACTAGTTTGCAATCATAGTGTGCAATCGTAGTGTTGTTTTTGTCTGCATTATCTACCCACAGGCTTTTTGCCTCTTCCATTGTACAGTCACAGGTGATGTCAATAGATTTGTCTTTTGTAAAACCTTTTAATACTGACGTGCATCTGTAAACAGATGGCAGTTTAATTAAAGTCTGTACAACATTTGCATATTATGAAGTGCACATTTTGCAGTAGATGTTGTTGCTGTCGCACAATCAAGTTTATATGCATGTGCGTATTATTTCTGGTGCATCAGAATTAAATTGGTTAGTAAATATGTTACACGCATGACTGATTATGCCACTTACTTTAATAGGCAGCTCCAAGCAATGCTTAGGGGACACATGTCCATGCTAACAAATAGCACAGCAAATGCACAGTGTAAGCACTGGTTTTCTGTAAGATACCACAGGGCAGTGTAATATTTGATGACAGTGATAACAAATTAATAATGGTGATTAATAAATGTATGGTTTCCTGCAATGACTTGTATTTAAACCGGCAAATTTTGTGACAGTCAATCACGAACGGTGGGTTATACAGGATTATGCATATACAAAAATTATGCAGAACCGATTAAATTATTTCATATGGCAAGAGCCGAGCACATTTTTTCCCCACAAATGCAGCATAGCAAATAACATAGTAATCAGATTTCTTCACTATTTAAATCAATCATTCTTTCTGAGAACATGTTCATAACTCCCGTGTTACTGACTGCAAGGTCATGGCATAGACATATTTTGCCCTGTGGCCCTGGGATCTGAGCTAAAAATATGAAATCGCTGCCTTGGGAATAAATTTATCCAGGACCACAGGTAGGCCAATTAGCAGTCATTTTTGGTATCAAGTTGAAGCTCTATTCTGCATAGTAGCAAGATGTTCATATTTGGCATTTAAGTCGGTAGTCTTATAATTAAGGTTGCCAATATTCCAATCGCCTGTTCATAGCAAGGCAAATGTGTATTTTGTTTATTTGGTTTTATCAGATAAAAAAAAAATTCTAGTGTAGTAATGTTATTCAACATGCAAATCATTGACATTATCCTCAGCAGCTATGAACTGCTGTGACTTTAATGGTAAATCTGTATTATTGCAGGTGTATAATGCATAAAAACAATGACTTAATAGCTTTTGTGTTTGTACTTTTCAGTCAGAGCCTTACAAGTACCATGACAAATACAAGTCCTTTGCACTGTTCCACGGTGCAGAAGGCAAGGAAATTGCGTCCATTTACCAGCCACAGGGGCAGGTGCCAAAACAATCCTCCAACTATGTTGAACAGCTGGAGTATTTAAAGATGATTTCAAAAGAAAATGAGAGAAGGTATATATACTTGATTTGAAGCTTTTGTGACTGCAGGAATTTACCAGTCTTGCTGGGTCTTTCTCTCCCCCTGCCACCGCGGGGTGGATTTCCACACAGCTCTCTCATTGACATGCTAATTTCTCTGCTCCAGCAGACCCACCTCTCTCTCTGCCACCCCCCTTTCTCTATTTAAGGCCACGACACAGAGGCATTGGATCACTATGTGTCTATGTTGTGTCTCTGTCTCTGTGTTGTCTCTGCTTGTGTCTGTGTGTCTCCGTGTCTGTCTCAAATTTAGTTCTACCTGATGATTGCTTGTGTTGCAATCGAAACATCGTATTCTATTATTGAATGTATTTTCTTTCTATGTGACTTTACCGAAATAACCAGAGTAAGGTATATATAATGCACTTTTGCCATGATGTGTTAATATAGCAACATGCCATTAACCTGTGGCATTGGTACCATGGTGATGTTTAAGGGTTTTAGCCATTAACTTATGCAAAACATTTTTTCACCTTGAGCAATCCTTATGGCTTCCCTTGCCATCACAGCTCAGCTGACATTTTGCAGCAATTTTGTAATTTCTAATTTGAACACGAAAGTAGTATGGCCATTCTGGAGTTAAAATAGATTTTTAATGTTTCCTGTATGAAAATTAGCCTACCCACAATTCCATGCGAGTGAAACTTCCCTCAACCACACGGATGTGGGTGAACTTTCATCCTTTTATCATAGCCTTTTAACAGGATTAATGTAACACTTCCGGAAGATTACTGTGTGACTCATTCACAGATAACACTATCGCTATACAATATATAACATGTGCTTTACAGAGAAGCCTGTTTCCATAAGTGCAGCAACAATATTTGTTTGAAAAAAGCTCATTGAATGAACAGAAACCTACCCATTGGCATTTACTCAAAACTTAGCCTGCAATGTATTTTGTTATAAGGTAATGTGAAAATTACAATGATGAGTATTTTTAGTCTGCTTGTGCACCACTGCAAATACAATTCCCAAGTTTTATTTGAACTCATCTTCTTTGCTTCTAGGGAAAAAATGGAGCACATTTTGTCGGTTATAAGCAGCATGGAACAAAAGGTAAAAATGCATGTTTTTATGAAAAGAAAATGCATACTTGATATCCACTGTGGGGGAGCAATGGAATATAGCATAAACCTGGTTATCTTAGTTTTATTCCCAGCCATGAAGAATGTCAGTATTGGTCGTGGCACCCTCTCCACCAATCTGTACTATCCAGTGTGGTAAAGTATAGTCAAGCAAATTCCTATGACCAACAACATGGAAAGGCCTTCGTCCACTGAAAATGTCGCCGACATTCCATATCCAAATTTGCATCAGGATAATATTGTCACAATGTATCATTTTAAATAATAACATTCAAGAAAGCATTTGTACACCAAGGTGAATGTACATTTGAGGGTAAAAAAAATAAGTTAAAAGCCAGAATCATTGTCTTAAAGACCTTAAATAATGACAATGCAAAGCTTCATGACATTACTGTATAATCGAAATAAAAAACCCTGCATAAATTATTTTATAGAGCATTGTTACATGCCAGAACAGCGCCACCTGCTGTTATCCAGCCTGGCTTTGAGCATCCAGTTTATGTGCTTGCATATGTCAATTCAGAAAACTCACTTAAATTCTTAGCTCTTAATTGTTTTATTAAGATTTTAATTTTGGTGAAAATAGGTTATAAAAATCGTACACAAAAAATGAATGTCTAAAATGAAATTCCAAAAGCGAAAATGGCTATAATCTTGGTCCACCAGTGCAAATTTAGGATACATTAAAAACTGCCCTTTTTATCCCCTTCTGTTCAATTAATGTCACATGCATTTGCCTGAGGATAACCTTGCCGAGGAGTTTAAACAGCACAACGCTTTTGTAAATAATAATTTACAACCATTTTGACAAAATTTGTGAAGTTGCTGTATGTGGAGATTGATCATACTTCATCATATTTCTGGTCAGCACAAGTTGGTAAAAATAGGGGCTGGTTAGATATCTCTCATAACTAATGTTAGGAATAAAACTTAGGTTTGTACATTCATTGTGCAGTGCACGATACAACTCGGCCACCAAATCACTGCGCCACTTTTCCGAGCCGCATGCTTTTCTCATTTTTGTGATGGTCATATGCTTGTGATTATCTTCAGAAATTACTTTACTCTTTTCAATGTTTAAATGTCACAATGTAAGTGCTCGTTTGTTTGCATTCCTGATTGTCAGATAAACGAGCTTCGAACTGAGCTGACGAGAGAGAGGGAGAATAGAGAACTGATGTACTCCGTGGTATCACAGATTAACAATCTGCTGCAGGGATTGGAAACAAAAGTTGCCAAGCACAATGAGATTCTGGAAGAAGTCCTAAACCAACAGGTAATGATAAATGGGAACATTCAGAATCACCAAAATAACTTTCACGAATTCCAGAGTCATCTGCTGGGTGGGCAGGCACACTTCAAAGCACACATGAGTGAGATGCATGAGGAAATCAAAAGCGTAGCAGCAAACCAGAAAAACTTGGCATTTCAACACGGCTTTTCCCAAACCAACCGTGCTTTGTCCACCGAGCAACTAGCCCGGTGCATGCCTCAGGTAGTGTGTGGTTATAAAGTGGATCCAGTTACAGATGAGACAGTTAAAATGGAACTGCAGGAAAAGGTGTTGCCGAGAGCTGTCAAGAGATTGAGTTCACAGGAGCAACCTACTAGGCCACTTATCAATAATTTGTGCTTAGAAGACAATTCGGATGACGATTCTGATGACGAGGGGTTTCCACTTCGCCTTATACAGTTTAAAAAAAAAATTCCTGTCGGTGAAATAAAGTGTAGAAGTACAAAGGCTCACCCTAGCTCGAGACCAAAAGAAACGCAAGTAAAAGGAGTTCAGCATTCATACCCAAACAGTGTTGTAAAGTCACATGCGTGCAGTTTCTCTATGGCAAATCAGATTAAGTATTCAAAAAGGAATAAAGTCGATGTGACACAAGATAAAACCACCTCTAGAGAGGGCACACGTGTTACCTCAAGTCCAAATTGCGAATTATCCGGGTCATCAAACTCCCGTGAATTCAATAACAATTGTTCGATATATTCAGATACAAATATAGTTTCAGCACACAGTGGTATAGATCTGGAGCAAGAATTGTGGGATCTATCTCCCTCCACCTCACCTATGTCAACAGCATGTAGCTATACCTCATGAATCTCACATTAACAGACATCATTTGACAAGGTTCCTTACCTGTAACATCTGGCAGATGAGCATTGATTCAAGCACGTCAAACTCATGAGCCACAATGAATGTCAAAATTTATCCAGTTTGCTTCTATTGAATGCTGCTAAAATTAGGCACTCCCAAGAGGCCGTGCAGCCAATGAGTTGTGTAATAAATAATTTAATTTTCATGGAGACATGAAATAGACTTTTCTGCATGTTATACTCTCCAATGCAAATGATAATTTTTAGTTAAACATTATTTGGTTATTTTCAAAGAGAAAATGTACTGTTTACAACATACTTTGAAATGTTGCATCTGTTCAATGTGTTAAAGAGTTCAACATGTACTGATTTAAGTGTTAACCAGACAGATTAGTTTATTTGCTTATATACCAATGGGCTTGATGGCATAATTTTTCTTGAAAGCACGTGGTTTTCATTTGTATAATTTTACATTTCTTGGCAACGTTGAATCACAAAGTACAAACCTTTACAATCTATTTGAATTAATCTGCATATTTAAATTGCTTACCGTATTCCTATGAAAGAAAATCCATTTGTGAAAGCCAACAGTGTTACGGATAGAAAATGTAAACCAAGTTTCCCAGAAAAGTTAAATGTTTTGTTCAAACGTTAATCGTTCCATGTTTTGCATTTGTTGGAATAAAAATATTCACAATATATATTTTCGTTGGTACATGTGTGTTGTGGATAAAACGCAATCCAAACTCATGACATGTCATCCTTCAGTTCTTTATTTAGATTTACAACTATGATGCCAATGTTTAATTCCTCATCAGAACATGATAAAGATGACCATACTATCGATACTACTGTGATACATTGTTCAACTTGAGGATCATCACTGTAATAACTCGTTAAAGATTAGCTACGTTACTATATAATTGCACAACGGCTACAACACCAGGCAGTTATCACGCTACAGTCTAAAATGTGGTCCAGTCCGCTTCTTTAAAGCAGCAGGGCAGTTGCCGAATAAATTACAATAGTTTGGTTCACTTTTTGCAACACCATGTAAACTTGCCCACTTTAGCAGGAATGTTCGTTAAAATGAGTGCTTTTCAACTTAGAAAGTGCAATCAAAACTCAACTTCAAAAGGAATTTGTTACTCTTAATACTGTACTGTTTTACTCCAAACAGATTAATGGTTACTTCATGTTTTGGACCGTTATCAGTGTCAAACCTCTGCGTGGAAAATCTGCTGCCGCCAGCTTCTGGGAAGCCAACCGTCTGAAATCAATATTAAGCGTGTCAATTATCAGCGATTCTTTTATAACTTGGGGTAGCTGTAGTGAATACATTTGAATTAGGTTCTGTACAATTCACTTGGACCACCTGCAGTTGTAAATTCGCAAGTAGGGTACGTTAACACAAATATAATTACATGCAAATTGCACCGTTAACTCTTGTCCCAAAAAAAGGTGTCACGAGCGTCGTCTAGCTGTATTTTCCTACAGAACTTCACACGGTTGCAACATGGAGACTTACGTACGTCACTGGTGAAGGTGTGAATTGGTGTGGTTTATTCGTTAGGCTGTACTGACAGCCTAACTCGTGGGAGTGTTGGGTGTAAGGAGGGGAGTGGGAAGGGAAGAGTTTGGGGAAAAAGTGAGAGCTTTATAGGGTTTATTACTGCTCTTCTTCCCCAAATATGTCATTCTTCTTGCGCTTGACTTCTTCAAAGTCGAAATCTGCGCCCGTCACACGCTTGTATATGTCCTTGATGTCGTTGCACGTAGTCTCAAAGTGAGTGGTGGCGTCGTAGGAACGCGAGATGAAAATCTGAACAAGTGGAATGAGACATTTCAAATCGCAATGTTACATTGTACAATGTTGATCCTTGGTGCAGACACGACTGCTTCTCAACTCGCCGTGCAAATAGGTGAGACATTTTATTTTGAGCAAAGAGAAGAGATTTTTAAAACTGATTTTTACAGGAAGATCAGAAGGGAGCTTTGAGCAAAGGAAGATTTCACATTGCTGTAATGATGCTAAGTTAATGAAAGGTTCTGGCGAGATGTTTTGATTGGTAGAACAGTATGTAAGCTTCAACAGTAACATTCTTCCAGTCATGACTAGCATTTTTTATGATGAACAAGCAATGCACCATTACCTGGCTTTCGAGTCCAAGATCGGTGGGTTCGTACATGTCACAAACAGTGACAAACCTGCAAAGTGAGAGGTGCAAAAAGCTGAAATCAATACTTACATATACCGCACAAAGTGGACACCTACTTGAATAAACATAAAAATGGATGTGGTTCCCATCCTCTTCGCTGCAGTATAATCACATGCAGGTTCATGAACCCATCTGTGCGAAGTTTGAATATCTGCTCGTATAAGTGGCTCTCCCAATGTAACTCAGGGAGAAGTGGTCAAAAATTCCCAAGTAGTTCTCTACTGATAATGAAGCTAACAGACTGTAATTGCTTTAAAAATTACATGTAAAGGCTATAGTAAATTTTAATAATTAAGGTGTTCACTTGCACAAATCTAGATGCTTGGGTGTTAGAATCAAACCACTTTAGTCTGGCACTTAATGGCATTGCAAAATTACTCCCCTTCAAAACGTCTGACAATTAGATTTAAACAAATTTGCAAGCTTATTATAGTGCAAGAGCAGTGTGGTCACTCAGTGCAAGTTTATTGAGAAGCTAGTCATGCCCTCCAGGTTTGTGGCAGTACCCTAACTATAATACTTGACGAGAACTAAAGAGCCACTTCTATTGCAGCGACAATTTGGCATACATCGATGTCCACTTGTCCAAGTCAAAAGAGTACCCACTTGGACTTTGAGAGTCAATTTAAAGGATTTAAAAGCCGTAGTTTTGCTTACGAACACCACCCACAGTGGGTTCTATTGATTTTTTGGCACCATGGAAACAGAACTTGAGTTTTTGAAAAGGACAGGTGCAAGGTGGCCTGGTGACTAGGAGGTCAGCAAGCTGAGCTGGCAGTATTGAGATCCTGGGTTCAGATCCAGACAATCGCCCGTGATTAAGCCGGGTTCGCAAGTTTAGCGAGTTTATGGTCTCAGCATGATCATCGATGTCTGCACACTAAAAAAAACTAATTAATTTGCTTTAGCACCATGGATAAATTCCAATTCTGAAAATGTAAACATGAGAATGACAAATGTGACAATTATTAAGATCATATTCAGAGCAGAAGATGAGTTTACTAATAATGATCTTAGAAGCAGGTGTTACATCGACTTTAACATGATGGGATGCAATGTCACAGAGATCTGATTGGATTCTTTGTCTCATGAAATTACACCGATATTGTTTTATTTTTCCAAAAAGGCACACCTAGTAGTAGGAGCTCGTTTTCATAAGGGTTCTCTCTGCATTGGGTTTTTATTCAGATGTTTTCAGCCAATTAACGTGTTTACAAGTGGGAGGAAACTGCAGAGCCCGGAGAAAACCCACGCCTTGCGCGAGGGGGCAACACTATCCCCGTACAGATGGTAATTAGTCCACTGACAGGACTACCTTCTCCAGGAGAGCCAGGGATATGGCACCTTGCTAGCAAAATGGGGGTAAACATTGAGAAAAAACATCAAAACAACAGGTGGACCCCGATTGGGTTGACCCGCTTGAAGTACTGCTTCTCCCCCCAGGCAGCTCTGCTTGCTCACTTCTGATCGATGGGCTCGAGCAGCTGCAGGGCCGGCAACACCTCGGCTTCGGGGTCTTCCGTCTCCACGGTGGTGCTGACGATGGCGATATACTTCCCCTGCGCCGCGACGTTGTGTGCGAACGAGATCATGCACACGTAGATGTCTGGGGGGGGGGGGGGGGGGAGGAAGGTGGCAGAGGGGAGAAAATGCGTCGTTAATCCGGCGACGATCCCATTTGTCGTTCAAGGGTTCAACCGTCTTGTCCGAGACAAAACCCATAAACATTTCTAAAGCACAGCTGCAGAAGCACTTTCAGACCGACAGGATGACGATTTAGCCAGTTAAGAGTCCATTAAGACCACAAGTCCCCTTTTCTATGGGTGCAAGTACAAGACAACAGATATTCCAAGAAGTAGACAAAACACAAAATCCACAATGCTAGATGAAGGCCTCTCCATGCTGTCAGTCATGGTGGTGGTCATTTAACCAAGCTTCAAGCTGGTCAGTGCGAGTTTAAGTGGGGAGACGCGAACAAGTCGGCGTATCACCACACCGACGTTAGTCATGGCCAGAAATCAAACTCAGGTGGCCTGGGTTCATAGCGCAATGCGCTTACCACTGGGCCACTGCTCCAACCCAGATTAATAAATATTAAGTAACATATAGTAAAGAAATTGTTTTTGGAGCACAAAGATTGGTTGTAGTTATATGTTACTAACATGGTTCCTGGAATATAAGCACATTTGGAGTGTAACTTAATAGTAAAGGGCAACCATTTAAGCCTTCTCAACTTCTCTCGGAACTCAACTATTTAGTTTATTTGCTGAAATACATGAGGGATGACAAATGGTTGAATCATTCATTAATATACTTTTTATAGACTTGTTTCTTTTTAATGCTCTTTGGAAGTGGCATTCACTTCGTATACTTGTACTTTTTATGAAGAGGATTAGCACTAATCAAATACTGTCATTTGTTAATGAAACATATTAAGTGAAAGCTTCACTTCACCTCAGCACAGCTCTATGCAGCTATTTGAAATGTCCATAAATCAAATTAAGAACTTGTGTACAATGTCCAACTACAGGAAAAACCGAGGAATGATTTAATAATATACAGGGTGTTTCAAAATTATGGACCCGATTTGAAATCGCTCTATCTCTGCAACCACGAACCGGCCATGAATGTAACTCTTACCACTTGAAAGGGCGGGGCATAGAGAGGGCGGGGTATAGAAAGGGCGAGGCTTAGAGAGGGCGGGGCATAGAGTTTCAAAAGATTACCGCGAGATGCCTCTCCCAGCGCACAAACAGCCCCTAGCCTCAGTCATTCGCAAGACAACACCACCTCAACGTTGGATAGGTCGCACGGCACCCCAAGACTTGGCGCTACACTCTTGGCCCCCAAGATCCCCAGACATCACCACACCCTGCGACTTATTCTTGTGGGGATACGTCAAAGACCGTGGTGTTTTTGTGCCACCATTAGCGACTAATCTAGATGACCTCAAAAACAGAATCACGTCAGCGGTGACTTCAGTGGAAGAAGACACTTTGAGAGGCGTTTGGGACAAATTCAACTATCGTCTCGATGTTGTCCGTACAGCAGGTGGAGGGCGCATAGAGTATTTATAAAATGATTTGTAAAACTTGATAACTCATTAAACCGTTTGTAACTTTGTGTAATTGAAACATGCTGCCATCGTGAAATACACTGCTTTGAAATTGGGTCCATCTTTTTTAAACTCCCTGTATCTAAGGCTTGTATAAATTCATCATCTCTTGTACGTGTGCCTAAACAAATGCCAAGGCCATTTGTGTAACTGCACAAAAAAACCATACCACCATTAAAATGCATTGAGGATGCACAACACATCTTCAGTGTGGCACCATGGTCTATGAACAGTGACACCTCCAGTGTAGGTGATGGTGTACCTCATTACATTTTAATACACTGCGAGAAT